CTGATGAACGAATGGCAGCTGCTGAGAGATGTGGGATTGTGGAAGGAACTGCTAAGCTAAACCAACCTAGATACTTTAGGGATGTCTTGGCTTCAAAATGGAAGTCAGAAAATGTGTTACATTGGGGGAGGGGTTATGCCTTTGTTTCCATGGGAAAAGAAAAACTATGAATTCCTTTAAAGTTAATCGAGAACAAATTTTATCAGGGGAGACCTCCTGAAAATCCTGGCTACAGACATGAAGAAATAAACCTAGAAAAACTACAAGACAGATGATGTATATTTTACTTGCTCAAACATAAAACAACAACAACAACAAAAAATCATCTTTGTGTACAACACACACTCCATACTTGTGTTAAGGCAGATATGTACATAACCTTTGAAAGTTTGTTGTTTTCAGAGCAAGGGGACCAGACACCAAAAAATGGGTGTCTCAGGTGATCCAGCCTCTCAGAGTGCCTCTGTTGCAGTTTCCTCAGAGTTCTGCATCCAGAACAGCTTCAAGGCTGCTGGCTGAAATGGTCCAGCCTCACAGACTACTCTAGCCAAGACTACAGGTAATTCATGTGCTTTCCCATCGCAGAGACTGGACAACATATGTTATGCCCAGTTTTCCCAGGACTTGACCTGTATCTCAGGATCCCCTAAAGATACCGTCACCCACAGACAGCAGAAAGCAGTCTAGAGAACACAACATTCCCACATTCCCAAGAAGTAGGATGGGTAGTTTTTGGTCATTTGGTGGGTTATGGATGTTTGCCATCATTTAGGGGTGTTGGTTACAAATTGTTACTGGTTATGGTTAGGGAGAAAGCTAAACAAAGGAGATTAGATTCAGGGATCTCTTTCTGAAGGGAAAAAGAGGATATAGTATAGAAATGATGGGATAAAGGGTGGATTGTTGCATCTACTTTTATTTATTTATTTATTTATTTTGGTTTTTCGAGACAGGGTTTCTCTGTGTAGCTTTGCGCCTTTCCTGGAACTCACTTGGTAGCCCAGGCTGGCCTCGAACTCACAGCAATCCGCCTGCATCTGCCTCCCAAGTGCTGGGATTAAAGGCGTGCACCACCACCGCCCGGCTTATTTTTTATTTTATTTTATTTTTTTTTTGTTTTTTTGTTTTTTCTTTTTCTTTTTTCTTTTTTTTTTTCTGTTTTTCAAGACAGGGTTTCTCTATGTAGCTTTGCGCCTTTCCTGGAACTCACTTGGTAGCCCAGGCTGGCCTCGAACTCATAGAGATCTGCCTGGGTGCCTTTCCTGGAACTCGCTTTGGAGACCAGGCTGGCCTCGAACTCACAGAGATCAGCCTGCCTCTGCCTCCCGAGTGCTGGGATTAAAGGCGTGTGCCACCACCGCCCGGCTTGCATCTACTTTTAAACAACCACTAATCTCAAATATTTTACACTGGTATGGATTTTTGTATATTGATACAAATTTAAGGTTAATTTTATTACACTATATATATGTTTCTACTCTTGTTTTAGGAATTGTACCTATGCAGCTCATTTAAAAATGTAATGTAAAGATTTAGTCTTTGAAAGCTATTTAGGATAATAAAAAAAGATAGGTTAATAGTCACCTATAACAATCAAACTTATAGTCATGTTAGGTATGTTTTCAAGGTCAAACAGATATATTTTAAATAGATAGATGGTCTTCAAACACTTCAAAGTCCTATAGAATATGGCTTTGAAGATGTTTTAATAATATAAGGCTTTTCATGACAATGAGACATGTCTGCTCCTGGCAGCACTAATTTACTTCAAGAAAGGATGATGGACATCAAAGAACCTCCATACAGAGTTTGCTTTTATTTGTGGCAAGGTTAGCCTGTGTCCAAGGAAAATGCCCTTGCCTTGACTGCTGACAGTGTGCTGTCCAAACTAGATAAGCAGGACATACAAAAAAGTGACTGTTGAACTTTGACAAGAGAGGGTAGTATAGTCCTTCAGAAATTCCTGCTTCACCGAAAAGTCTATCAGATATTTTAGGCTTGTAGGCCAAAGATGGATGCCTCAATGTTACAGAGGAACCTTGGGTGACTGTCCAGGCAGCCAGCTGTTTCTGCCATTTCTATGGTTTTGGAAGTTTACTCTACACTTCCTGTTTACTCAGGTAATATTATATCCTTCTTGGGTCTCTGATGGAATTGAGGACTAGATAGTTTTTCTTGTTACCAAATTCAGAAAAGAAACTTATGTAAGAGATGTAAAGTTTATAAGGTTGAGAAACATAAAAGCTTAAATTGTTCATCTAAGAAGATGTTTTAAGGTCTAAAAAGATATTTTTAGGATAGTAATATAAGTTATGATAGAAAATGGTTTAGGTATATAACTTTGGACTCATGAAGATAGGATAGATAACACAGTACTTTCTCTGAATTTACCAAATACTAATGAACTGGACATTGTGAATGTAATTCTTACCTGATAATTGTTCTTATTGTATATAGTTTTACTATGTTAGAGTTAAAACCTATCCTTTTTATTTAGACAAAAAGGGGGAAATGTTGTGAGATGTTTAATTACACTGTGTAAAGATAAGTCACTGTGATTGGTTTAACAAAAAGTTAAATGGTCAATAGCTAAGCAAGAGGTATAGGTGGGACTTCTGGACTGAGAGGGCTCTGGAAAGAAGAAAGGGAATCAACAGGAAGATGCAGAGGGAGCAGGACATGCAGGAGGAGAGGTAAAAGCCACAAGTCATATGGCAACATGTAGATGGATAGAAATGAGTTAATTTAAGTGATAAGAGCTAGTGGGACAAGCCTAAGTTACAGGCAGAGCTTTTAAAATTAATAATAAGTCTCTGTGTCATTTTTTGTGAGCTGATGGCCCAAAAAAAAAATCCATCTATGCTGGAGGGCATATGTGGTGGGGTTTTGGAGGGTTTGGGGGAAAATGATGTGTGGGTGATGTGGAGTGTTGGGTTGTATGAAGGGGGTTTGTGTGTAGAGTGCTTGGTGGGTTGGAGGAGTGATGGGGTTATGTGGGGTGTGTGGAAGGATGGCAGGTTGTATGATGTGGGTCTGTAGTTACAGTTTAGGAGGAGTGGTGTGTTTGGACTGTTGGATAGATGGGTGTGGATGTGGTCTGTGGAGTGGTAGAATGTGTGGGGGGATGTGGTTGTCTTAGGATTGGGGGTTATTAGGGGTAGTTGGTGTATGATTAGGGAGTGTGGGCAGGTGGTGGGTGTGTCCTAGAGTGTGGAAGGTTGGAGGGGTGGTGGGATTGTGTGTGGAGTGTGTAGAAAGTTGGAAAGTGTTTGGGGAGGGTTGGAGAGGTGATGTGTGTGTATGGGAATGGAGGGTTGTTGGGTGGTGTGAGGTAGGGTGTTTAGTGGGTGGAAGGAATGGTGGGGTGGGTACATGATGGTTGAGGGTATGGTGTGTGTGTGGTGGAGGTACGTGTGGAGGAATGGGAGTGGGATATGTGGTGGGGTTATGTGTGGCATATGTGTTCGAGATGTAGGGGTATGTGAGATATGTGGTAGAGTGTGGTGATGGGGTATGCAGCATGATGTTTTGGGGATGGAGTGTTAGGTATTTGAGGGTTTGTGAAGGTGTGTGGAGAGGTATTGAGGTGAGGGTTTTTTGGTGTGTATGTGTATGTAGTGGAGGGGCAGGGAGTTTTAGGATTGTAGGGATGCAAAGGGTCAGAGTAAGGGGTGAGGGTTGTGTGGTGTCTGTGTGGAATTTGGAGGATTGGAGGGGTTGTATGATGTGGAGTTGTGTGGAAAGGTGATGGAGATGTGTTTGGGAGTATGTAGAGGGGCAAAGGGGGTGGGCTGTATACTAGAGATAGGGGAGTGTTGGACGAGTGGAGTGATCAGATGGTTCGAGGGGGAGTGTGGTGTGATGTGGTAAGTTGGAGGGATGATAGGGGACATGTAGTGTGTCTGTCAAGGGATGGGAGGTTGTGTGATAGGGATGTATATGGGATTTGTAGATGTGTGGGATGGTTGGAAGGGTGGTAGAGGTGTGTATGGGTATGTGGAGGGGTGGTATGGTGTGTGTGTGTGTGTGTGTGTGTGTGTGTGTGTGTGCAGGATTGGAAGGTGGATGGGAATATGTGTGTGGTGTGTGGAGAAGTGGAGAAGTGGAGGAGTGGTGGGTTGTGTAGAGGACTGGAATATTTGGTAGTTTGCAAGGGTTGGGTGATTTAGGTATGTGGTGGAGGGATAATGGGTTGTGTGGTAACTGGGTGTGTAGGGTGTGGGGTATGTGAGATGTGGGGTATTTGGAGTGTTGAAAGGCTGTGTAGGGGGAGGTGAGAGGATGGCGGGGTACGTATGGGGTGTGTGGATGAGTGGGGTTTTCATGGTTAGAGGGGTGGTGGGGATGTAATTGGGGTATGTGGAAGAATAATGGATTGTATGGTAGAGGCACGTGTGGCTTTTGAGGAGGGGTCAGTTTATGGTTGAGGCTGGGGTTGGGATAGGGTGTTTGGGGCACTTGAGGGGAGGTGAAGATGTGTGGAATTGAGAGGGGTTAGGTTGTGAGTATGTGTGTGCGCAGGGGGTGATGTGCTTGTGTGTGAAGTGGTTAGGGGCGGCGGTGCGGAGGGATGCTGTGGGGATGTGGAGGGGTTTGTGGAGAGTTCAGGTGTGGGGTTGTGTGTGGCCTGTGAGGGCCCGGTGGGGTGTATGGCACTGGAGAAGTGACGGGGTCGTGTATCGGTTGGTGGAGGTTTGGGGACGTGGTTCGCTTTGTGTGGACTTTGTGGAGAGCTTTGTTGCCTAGAAATCTGGAAGGTTTGCGGGTGTGGACAGGTGGTGTGCCTCCCCCCATCCCTCCCCAAACCTCCCTCTTCTCCTTCATCCCCTCTTGCTCCTCCTGTCCCTCCTTCTCTCCCCCTTCTCCTCCTGGTCTACCTAGCCTCCAGCCCGCCCTCCGCCCCTCCCCTTCGCACCCCGCGTGGTGCCCTGGTGCCCGCGGGTAACTCATTGACCGCTGCTCCAGAGCCTTCCAGCAGAGCCGGGAGGATGGCTCTGGTGATGCTGCAATTGGTGCTGTTGTTCCTGGCCGGGGACGTCGCAGGTGATGCTCACACGGGTCTGGTGTCTGGGAGCGGTGAAGGGGGAACCAGCTCAGATACGAGAGAGCACTGGCCTGCCATGCTTGAGCTGCGGATTCGTGCCGTTACTGGCGGTTTTGCCGGCCGGGTGGGCAGCGGAGGGAATGAAAGCTGAATGCGGGCCGGCACCCTTGGATGCTCCAGTTGGGGCTTCGATCCCAGCTCCTAGATATCACCCAGCCACCTGCTCTTCCTCTCCTAAGCAGATTTTTCTGGACTCCAGATAGGCGGTTGGATTTGTATCCACGGCCCCGTTGAGCCTGGCAGGAGGTGTGCTAGACGTGGAAGGCCCACGAGACCTTCCTGCGGACGGACTTGACGTCTATGGGAAAGCAGAGTTGAAATCCTAATACCTAGGCTAAGTTTTGTGTTTACTGAGTTTGGCATACTTGGCTTACGTCTGTAATCTCAGCACTTAGGAAGCATAGGCAAGAGGATTCATGCTTTCAAGGCAACCCCGGCAAAATAGCCAGTTCAAGACCAACCTGGGTTTTGTGAGCTCACAAATTAAATCCAGCTGGGTGGTGATGGCACATGCCTTTAATCCCAGCACTTGGGAGGCAGAGGCAGGTGGATCTCTGAGTTCCAGGCCAGCCTGGTCTACAGAGTGCATTCCAGGACAGCCAGGGCTACACAGAGAAACCCTGTCTCAAAAAAAAACAAAAACAAAAAAACAAACAAAAAAGTTCCGAGAAGAAATACTGGAAGCTCTTTTTAAAAAGGCACGGAGAAGCACATCAGAAGGAAAGTCACGTGTGGATAAAACTCAAACCTTTTGGTTTTGTTCTTTTGTGTTTTAAGTGTGCGTACATGAGTGTGTGTGTGTGTGTGTGTGTGTGTGTGTGTGTGTGTGTGTGTGTATGTGTTGTGGGCATCTAGAGCCTAGAGGTCAATGCTGGTTGTCTTGTATGGCTCTCCACCTTACTTTTGACACGGGGTCTCTGATGAACCTGGTGCTTGCCATTTCTGCTAGACTGGCTGGCCGGTAATACTTGGTATCCACCTGTCTGAGCCTCTCCCCGTGCTGGCCGTTGCAGACCAAAGCCATCACGGCCAGCCCTGGATGCTGAGGATCAGAACTCAGTTCACAGCAAGCCCTTCACTCCTTGAGCTACCTCCCCAGCCTGGACACCCCCACCCCATCCCCCATGTGTTTTACTTGCGTGCAGATGCGCTTGTCTGAAAATGCTCACATGGGGGCCAGAGGTTGGCTTAGGGCATCTTCTGCTGTGCTCCAGCCTACAAACTGGGTTTTAAGGCTCTCTTGTGAACAATTTACCTTCGTCATGTATACAACGCCAGTGTTCTCTCTCCTTGCAGTCTCCTCCGACTCTTTCGACTCTTCCAACTCCCACATAGTTCAGCCATCAGAACTCAGAACAGTAAGTATGAACTGCGGGGACTGTTTCTTCTCGTACCGCAAAGCGTGGAGCCATTTTCAGGCCAAACTTACAATGTAAGAAACCGTGAAGTGTTTTGTAAGCCAGCATTTCATGCAGTTCCCTTGACACAGATAAATGAGTATCTGTTTTTCTCAGTTATCCCTCTGCCTCTGTCTCCTGAATACTAGGATTCCAGATATAAACCACAGTGTCGGCTAAAAGTGTGCATTTCAGTTGAGAACAGCTCAATCTTTGAAGGCTCCACACTTCACATATTTTCTCCTATTAAATTCTGTGGGCAGAAATGAAAATCAAACGAGACAGTTTATTGAGAACTGCTGTTATCAAGGGGTCTGCCACCATCATTTTCGTTTGGGTAGAGACTCACTGGCTGGCAGAGGCATGGGAAAGTGTCAGCCTGGAGCAGGAGTCTTCAGGTGTGGCCTGGTACACGCTATCAGCAAGGGAAACTTTAGGTACGGGTGCACACACACGATTACACTTGGTTGGCCCTCATCTGGAATCTAGGACCTACGTTAGGGAAGCTGACAATTCTTAATTGAGACCTGGCCCCTTGGGGCTGAACTGTTAGAAGGATTATCGGCTTCCTGGGCTGGCTTTGGAGGCAGCAGTCTCTGAGATAAGGGGGAGGACCATTGCCTTAGGGTAGCTGATGGAAAATGTTTATAACCACTCTCTGCCTAAACAGGTAAATGACCCGATCTGTGTCTCACACTTTCCACGGCATAGTCATCCCTTGCTGGCTGGCTGAGACTGTTCTCCTGCGTGGCACAGAACCTTCGAATGTCCCATCAGCTGAGAGATTTTGCTTTGTTTTGTCAGGCTGGAGACAGGGTGCCAGGACCCCAGGTGTGCAGCACCACACTGGGCTTAGTGTTCTAGACTCTTGGGCTGGGGGTGAGGTTGTTGAGGCTCAGACTCAGGACCTGGTGAATGCTAGGATGTCATGCTTCTCAATTAAGTGTATGCTTCCTATAGGGATGTGGTAATTTGAAAGAAAATGGCCCCCAAAAGGAGTGGCGCTATTAGGAGGTGTGGCCTTGTTGGAGGAGGTGTGGTCTTGTTGGAGGAGGTGTGGTCTTGTTGGAGTAGGTGTGGCCTTGTTGGAGTAGGTGTGGTCTTGTTGGAGGAGGTGTGGTCTTGTTGGAGTAGGTGTGGTCTTGTTGGAGGAAGTGTATCACTGTGGAGGCGGTCTTTGAGGTCTCATATGCTCAAGCCATGCCCAGTGAGACAGACCACTTTCTGTGGCCTGTGAGATGTAGGACTCTCACCTACTTCTCCAGCACCATGTCACTCCGCCATGTCCCACCATGATGATATGGACTGAACCTCTGAACTGTAAGTGAGCCACCCCAGTGAAATGTTTTCCTTTCTAAGGGTTGCCGCGGTCATGGTGTCTCTGCACAGCAATAGAAACCCTAATTTAGACAAGGGGTATAACTCAGAGGTTGGGCACTTGCCTAGTGTGCCTGCAGCTCTGGTTCAGTCCTCGTCACTGCAGATCCCCAGCTGGAGTTACAGTCTTTGTAACACTCAAGGGTCTCATGGAAACATGAGTAATGAAGTAAAACTATTTGTGTGAGAGCAATATCAAATACTTTAGAAAGGCTTGCTAGAAGACATTGCTTTAACAACAACAACAACAACAACGAACCTCTAGCTTCTAGGTATGGTATGAATTCTTTTAGTTCCAGCACTTAGGAGGGCAGAGGCAGGTAAATCTGTGAGGCCAGCCTGGTTTACATAGTATGTTCCAGGCCAATAGTGAAACCCTGTCTTAAAATAAATAATACCTCCCTTCTCCAAACTATCACTGAATTAGGTAAGAAATGGTGGGGGTTGGGATATCAAGATGAGGCTTACTAAATGTCCAAGTTCTCACTGTGTTTTAGAGTGTATCGAGATGTTTTCCAGATAAGGCCTCGTGTAGCCCAGGCTGGCCTCAACTGGATGTAAAGGGTGTGATGGTGAACACCTGATCCGCCTGCTTCTGCCTTCCAAATGCTGGGCTTAGTTCAAATGGTACCATGCTGAGCTCTGGTTTATTTGTTTTGTTTTGAGACAAAGTCTAGTTTGTGCTTTCCAGGCTAGCCTAGAACTTACTACATAGCCCAGGCTGGCCTCACACTGGAGGCAATCCTCTTACCTCAGCTTCCGAAGTACTGAATTACAGGTTTGAACCATGCCTGTCTCTGGGGTCTTTTTTTTTTCTTCCTTCTCTTTGTAATTGTATTTTGAACCATTGCATCTGATTTTTACATTCCAAACTCAATTTTTTGATGGGGGAGGCAGGGGAAAACAAATATTTATTTAGGATATGTCTATGAAATTTAGGGAAAGTTGGGATATTGTTGGGTGCGTCTCAAGTCATTCTCTTGTTTCTCTACTTTTCTCTTTTGTAGCCAAACTGTGATCATTATGACTACCCAGCATGCCCCAGGAACCTGAGCCCCGTGTGTGGAAGCGACATGAACACTTATGGGAATGAATGTACTCTGTGCATGAAGATTAGGTCCAGTATTAAAAACATTTTCTTTTTAGATTTATTATTATTTATGTGTGTGAGTGTTTTGCCTGCATGTGTACGCATAGGCACAACATGTGTATCTGGTGCCCACAGAGGTCAGAAGAGGGAGTTGGATCCCCTGGAACAGGAGTTACAAATAGTTGCGATTGGAATCAGATTTGAGGTTCTCCACAAGAGCAACAACTACCAGCCTCAGGTCACACAGTCTCACAGTTGTGTACCAGTCAAGTTTTCTTGCCTTTTCTTTAATTTTGGTGGCTGGAGGTAGTAACTCCTTTCTGGGATGTAGGAGTCAAATGTGACTTAAATTGTTTTTTTTTGTTTGTTTGTTTGTTTTGTTTTGTTTTGTTTTTCGAGACAGGGTTTCTCTGTGTAGCTTTGCGCCGTTCCTGGATCTCGCTCGCTCTGTAGACCAGGCTGGCCTCAAACTCACAAAGATCCGCCTGCCTCTGCCTCCCGAGTGCTGGGATTAAAGGCGTGCGCCACCACCGCCCGGCTGTTTTTGGTTTTTATACAGACATTTAAAAGATGTCAGCCGGGCGGTGGTGGCGCACGCCTTTAATCCCAGCACTCGGGAGGCAGAGCCAGGCGGATCTCTGTGAGTTCCAGGCCAGCCTGGTCTCCAAAGCGAGTTCCAGGAAAGGCGCAAAGCTACACAGAGAAACCCTGTCTCGAAAAACAAAAACAAAAACAAAAAAAAAAAAAAAAAAGATGTCAAATCTGTAGTCCATGTTCCAGTCAAAGCTAGAGACTAAAGCTTGTGATTGGTCAACTGTAAGGCAGCAGATGGCCGATGTCACCATCTCAATGTGCTTTTTCCAAACTAAGAGTATAATAGAGCTGGGCAGCGATGGCTCATGCCTTTAATCCCAGCACTCGGGAGGCAGAGCCAGGCCGATCTCTGTGAGTTCGAGGCCAGCCTGGTCTACAGAGCAAGCTCAAGGACAGGCACCAAAACTGCACAGAGAAACCTTGTCTCAAAAAAACAAAACAGACAAACAGAAAAAGAGTGTAGTGGAGACGGAGAGCAGCCCCGCAGTAGAACGTTTGCCTAGAGTGCATGTGGCCCTGGGATCAATCTTGACAACTGGGGGAAGAACATTTTGCATATTTAGGGGCATAGCTCAGTGGCAGAGAACTTGCCTAGGATGCTAAAGCCATTAGTTCAGTCCTCAGCACTATACCTACATATATATACACACACGCACAAATAAGACTATAGTTAATAGTTAAGTTCTGCAGAAAATTATATTTACTTTTAGCTTTAGAGGGGCATGCAGGTGATCTGCACACCCTATATTTACCAGCTGGCAGGTAAGACTTACTACATATACTTCAGAAAATGCTAAGTATTAGGTGTGTGGTACCTGACTCTCTCTGTGCAACACACCACCTTTGTTGGGAGAGTCCATTCTCCCAGCTCAGCTTCCACTGAGCAATCTAGGTCTTCTTGAAATGGTTTGAAGGCATTAGAGTTGAGGGGGTTAAACTGCGGGGGTGGGGGTGGTGGGGGTGGTAGGGGTAGGGGGTGGTGGGGGGTGGGGTGGGGAGAGGAGATCTTTACCCTTTGTGTTTTCTGGATTAACCTTAAAAAGTGACCAAGTAAATGTAGCCCTGAAAGGAATTTAATGCATAAAGGATAAAGGCCATAGGACTTTAAAATGCAAAACAGTTGACCTGGTTTCAGCGTGGTAGGCACTGATACAGTGTGTATGGTTGTTCACATTGCAGGGAGGATGGTAACCCTCTTAAAATCATCAAAGACTCGCCTTGCTGATGGTCAGTTTACAGAAGAGCAGCTGGAAAACCCCCTACTCCAGTGCCTCCTGCTAGAACCCCCACTCCCCCCCCCCCCCCCCCCCCCCCCCCCCCCGTTTCTTTCTTTGCATGCTCCTGCTAACACACCTTCTCCACAAGGAGGTGTGGAAGACGGTGATGTGCAGGGGATCCATAAACTTCTAAAACTCCCGCTCTGGGCTTCTGCCTTGCAGTTCAGTTTAGTTAAGCTTATGGCCCTGGTGACTTTTGCATTGCTTTACTTAAGAGGAATAAAATGAGCATTGAATTCAAGGACTGGTGTCTTCTGTTGAAAATGATGCTGCCACCCTCGGGGGATTTTGATCTGCCCCGTTTCAGGCGTTTCTCACTGAGCCTGAGAATTAAATGGACACAGACGAGCAGGAGAAAATCCTGCACATTTATTTGTTGCGGGGTTTTCACGGTGAGAGCCTTCTGGAGGAAATGACCGGATGCAGTTAGGGGACTCTTGCCATTTCTATATGGGTAAATATCAGTGGGTGAAAAAATGTGGGCACATATTTTTTAAAAGAAAAAAAAGAAAAGAGAAACCAAGAGAGGGTAAAAATAAATTGATGAGGAAAGATGGGACCAGGGCAAAAATAATTCCATGGAAGATGTGAAGAAGGATAGAGACCAGGAGGTAGCTCAAGGGCGGTTAGGGGTTGTGGCAGGGGTGAGGGGGGGGCTGGGAACCTGGGGGTGGGGAAGGGAAAGGAGAATCTACTAAAACTTTTTCTTTCTTTCTTTCTTTTTTCTTTTTTTGAGACAGAGTCTCTCTGAGTAGCCTTGGAGCTCACTTTGTAGCCCAGGCTGGCCTCAGACTCACAGAGGTCCCCCTGCCTCTGCCTCCCAAATGCTGGAATTAAGGGTGTGCGCCACCACCTCTCAGCCAAGAATCTATTGAGACTTTATTTGAAAGTGCCGCAATGATATCCATCTAATGCTTTATATGCTGACATCAGTGTTTTTAAAGGAGCCAGGGAAGGAAGCACACAGACAGGTGATGTTAGAATTAAACACACATTGAGTCAGACAAAGAGTAGGGACTAGGAAGACGAGAAGTACTCTAATAAAGCTGGTCATATATGCAGACTGCCTCCATCCTCAGCTTCTGTCCTGGAACGTTCTTTTCAGAATAGGAACATTGCTTTTTTTTTTTTTTTAATTAATTCATTTTTTAATTTGAGACAGCTTCGTGTACTGAGACACAAGGGGGCAGTGCTTCCCTGACAACCGCTGCCAGCTGGCAGGGCCACAGGCTGCCAGCAGCTCAGGGGTGCTCCAACTGGGAATCACATTTCGTTTGCAAACTGCTGTGTGTTTCGGTTCCCTGAAGATGCCACCTCTGTGAGGAACGCTGAGCGGTGGTCCCAGAGGTTATTGTGAAACGGGGGTGACAGAGGAAAGTGAAGCCGAGTTGCCTTCTTGGGTGAGGTTAGGGGGAAAGCCTGGTAGACCGTGACTGGAAAAGCTGGAACGGAAGGGCTGCCTGGGGGAAGGTGTGAGTTCCGGGGACCAGAGCTGACACTTGGGAGGGCAGGTGTATGCGAAGTGTCTAGTTTTTGTGGACTAGCTCTTCTGCTTCACCATCCCTCTCTGGTTCATCATCCTTTATCCTGGTTAAAAAGCCAAATGATGCGTAACAAGACCCAATGCTTGCTTAGCTGTATGGCTGATGAAGTCTTTTGTGCTTTGTAAAACACTTTCATGTTACGTTTTTTTGCCTCCAATTTGAAACGGTTTGATGTTTGACTCCCCCTTTAATGACTTCTATTTTTGGCAAGAAGAACTCCAATATAGTGACTGAAGCTAATATTAAAAATTCCTGCTGGGCGGTGGTGGCGCACGCCTTTAATCCCAGCACTCGGGAGACAGAGCCAGGCGGATCTCTGTGAGTTCAAGGCCAGCCTGGTCTACAGAGGGAGATAGGCACCAAAACAACACAGAAACCAACAAAAGACAAACAAACAAAACTCCTGAGGTAAGCTGGGCATGGTGGTACGCACTGAGTCCTAGCACTCAGAAGGTCAAAGCAGGACTGTCTGGAGTTTAAGGCCATTCTAGAGCACTAGGGGTTCCAGACCAGCTACATGGGGAACCTGCCTCAACAATGAAACCAGGTACATGCCTGTAATCCCAGCACTTGGAGGGCTGAGGGAGGTGGATCAAGAATTTGAGGCCAACCTAGGCTATACAGCTACACCCTGTCTCAAAAAAAAAAAAAACCAACCAGCAAACCCCGAATGAGTAGGGCCAAATGTTAGTGGCATTACCTTGGCCTTGCAACAAATAGCAGGTAGAGTCTCCAAAAGGCTTAGAATATTGGCTATGGAGATCGACAACAAATTCCATTCTGGAAAAGGAGCAGCAAAGAGGCACCATAAAAGCTTTTGCTACGCAAAGGCCTTCAGACACTCCATGTCCATCAAATCAGTAGTGAAGGATCATGGGGCAGTTCAAGGTTAAAGTGTTTGACTAAGGTGCTGGAGAGATGGCTTAGCAGTTAAGATCACTGACTGCTCTTCTAGAGGACCCTGGTTCAATTCCCAGCACCTGTATGGCAGCTCACACCTGTCTGTAACTCCAGTTCCAAGGCTTCTGACACCTCACACAGACATACATGCAGGCAAAAAAAGAACATTAAATAAAAATAAATTATTTTTTTTTTTTTTTTGGTTTTTCGAGACAGGGTTTCTCTGTGTAGCTTTGCGCCTTTCCTGGGACTCACTTGGTAGCCCAGGCTGGCCTCGAACTCACAGAGATCCGCCTGGCTCTGCCTCCCGAGTGCTGGGATTAAAGGCGTGCGCCACCACCGCCCGGCTGAAATAAATTATTTTTAAAAAGGACATTTAAAAAGAAGTGCTTGCCTAATGTATATGAGGCCCTGGGTTTAGTACCCAGAGCACATATGCACATACACACATGAATATTTGTGAGACACAGGACCCCAATGTTCAATTGGGTATGGTAGTCTTTGGATGAGTGAAAATTTCCTTTGGTTTCCAGAATGATTTTTTAGGAAAAGCTGTCCTTGTAAATCATATATTTTTCATAAATAACAAGTCTAAGCTACATAAAAATAACCTCTCTAAAGGGGAATTTTATTTTTTTTTTAATTTTTAAAGGAGAATTTTCTTTTCTTTTTCTAAAGATTTATTTATTTATACAGTATTCTGCCTGCATGTATCCCTGCAGGCCAGAAGAGGGCACCAGATCTCATTACAAGTGGTTGTGAGCCACCATGTGGTTGCTAGGAATTGAACTCAGGACCTCTGGAAGAGCAGTCAGTGCTCTTAACCTCTGAGCCATCTTTCCAGCCCCGAGAATTTTTAATGTAGTGTGGAGAGCTGTATACATTTGCATACACCGTAAGTATTTGAGATTGGCTTTACATAACTTTTGTGTCTAATTTTGTAATGTTTGTGGTTATAGATAATATTGGGCCTACAGGAAATCAAAGCCGAAAACATGATAGTTTATCTGCTGATTGTCCAGGAACAGTTGGGCTGATGGTTGGAGATTGTATCTCAGTTTCATGGTTTGATATGTTGTGTGACCCTGTTCCAAATTGAATCAGGGGAAAAATAGACCTTTTGGGTCCAAATCTGGTATTCTTTTAATTAACTACACATAGCCCGTTCATCAAGTTTTGCACAGACATTCTTCTAGCCCCAGGTCAAGGGAAGCCCAGGCATAACTGGCATGGGATTGTTAGAGAAATGCCTCAAGGACTTTGATAGTGTCACAAAGCAGCATCAAGCCCATATCTCCCAATAATTTCAGATGTTTTAGGTTGCTGCATCCTGCACAGGTTGGCCCTGGAAACTTGACCGGAGTGTCTTGGGAGTGAAGAATGACAGACACTGAAGTAATGACAGACACACTAGCAGAAAAGCTGGGATTTTGGAGGTGGGCTGTACTCAACCTGATGGAGGGCGCCTACAATGAAGCCTGGAAACTCACTGAGTTGATTATGTACAGCACAAGGAGGAGAGTTAGCTAGTCTTGGTAGGAGGTCTCTGTAAGGGAGCAGTCTCCAGTTGCAGTCATCTGGGAGGAGGAAGCTACAGTTGCCAGTTTTTGCACACTCATACTTGGAGCAGAGGAAGCTTTGCTATTTCCATGAGTCTGTCCTAGGGAAGGCTTGGTCACTCTCATGGATCTGAGGCGCTGGGATCTTTGATGTGGCTACGTTCATGTCAACATTCACTCAGGACGTCTACTCCCCTCACCAGATACTTGAAGAATGATCTAGAATTTGTTCTCTTTCAACTTAATCAGACTGCCTCTGTGACAGAAAACAGTAGAAATCATGAAGTGAGAAATCCTTCACAGAGAGTGGGCAGCTACTTCTGGCACATTGGAGGAGATCTTTGAAAGAGATGAAGAATAGCACCAAAGAATAGCAGCAGCAATGGCTGCGAAGATATGACCACTTCTGTCCGTCTCCTACTCCTCCTGAGCTAAAGCCAGGAAGTTTTACTGGTGTCAACAGCAGTGGGAAAGGAAGCGCTCTTAGGACTAGCGAGTCTGAGTCAGTCAGTGATGCATAAGGTCCATGGCATGAGGGGACAGAAGGAGCATGTTTATCTTTTCAGATTCTTCAAGAATAAGTCACATTTGAAAAATTTATCTCTGTCTGAGTGTGTGTTTTATGTGGATGTGTTTGGGCAGAGGTGCCATGATGTATACGTGGAGACTAGAGGACAACTTGAAGGAATTTGTGGGTCTCTGGAATTGAACTTAGGTCATCAGGGTTAGTCATAAGCCATTTCCCCCCTGACTCATCTCACCAGCCCATCATTTCAGGACTGTGGGGGCTCCTTTTTTGAGGAAGTAAGAGTATCTTGGGTGAGGAGTGGGCAGAGAAGGGTGAGGAAATTCTAAGAGAAGTGAAAATAGATGTTACGATGTCTGAGAGTCCCGAGCCCAGTGTCTTGTGTAGGAGGCTCTACACTAGACAGCAACATCGGTGTG